TGTTATGTAAAAGAACTGACTTGAATTGGTATTCCACAGGGAAAACCAGTTTTGTTCTTTTGCACATGCCATACATTTTAACTGTTCTGCTCGTGTATCTAATGCCATTTCATTGTGAGGCCAGAAATCAGCAAGACTAGGGTCCCACTCTCACTTGCCACCCAGCTCTTACCACTTGGACCTACCTTGGCCTGGACACCAGGAACTCATCTGTGGTTCAAAATGGGCACCCTAATTTCCCTATTCCGTATGAGGTATTTTTTTTTAACTTTTTACTCTCTTCATCAAGACCTTCAAATCACTCTGAATCTATCCACTCTCATGATGTCGGTTGATGTGAGATGCCAGATGATGTGAAATCCTATCGGGGGCTAATACGCCAGATAACACGCTCCCAGGATCATAGGGGTACTCAGACCCCTCTGCTTCATTAAGGTGGTACTGCAGAGGTGGTTAAGATGGCTTGAGCATCTGATTAGGGTGTCTCCTGGTTGCTTCCCTTTATAGGTTTTCTGGGTACGTCCCTCTAGCACAAGATTCAAGGGCTGGCCCAAAACTTGCTGGAGGAAATATGTCACCTTTCTGGTCAGGGGATGCCTTTGGATCTCCAAGGAGGAGCTGAAGCACGTCACTGGGAAGAGGGATGTCAGAGTTTCTCTCCTGGTTCTGTTGCCTTCAAGACCAGAGCACTAATAAGAGAAAGAAAATATGAATGGATGAATGCTGAAGTGATAATGCTCGGCTCTTTTTATTTAGACTTCTTCATATGTTTCCAAATCATTGTGGGATATTTTTGTGGATTTTGTTTTGGTTTTCTTTGATATTCAACTATTAACTAATCAACAAGAATAATGTACTGAATGTGATTATATTGTAATATATTTGGATTAAATCAACTGCTTGTAATCGAAGAAGAGTTACAGACCTGTTTTTTGCATATGTAGGAATTCTGCTCTGTCATCTCCCTGCAACCACATTTGAGCACCAATCAGCAACACCTTAGGATCGTTGGCTTGATGAGCAAGAGGAGCGTAAAAGGCTGCAGAGGACATCCAGTCAGCACTGGAGCATTACCTGCCAATGGCAGTTGTGTTCTAGCCTTTTATTTGTGAAGTTTAACTAAAGATTAATTGACTTTATATTCTTCATGTTTCCACTATAACCCCTGATGTCCTCTTGTCCCCTGGATTTTCCTCTGTGGACCTCAAGCTCTATTATGCCTCCTCAGCTGCCTCTACGCCTTCCTATCACTTGCCTACCTCCTGCCTGGAACCACTGTTCAGACGTTCACCTTCTTCACCCTAGAACCATTGGGTCATCTCTCCCCACGACTGACCCCTACCCCTACTGTAAGAAAGAGCAGCAACAACATTATCACCCCTGTCGATAGACCATTAACCTTTCTCCTTGCTTTTCAAGGTTCTACCTCCCTCACGGGCACATTTGATGATTTATCACCTTGCAAATAAACACTGTAAATATATTTAGAGTCTTGGTATCTGTTCTCTTCAGTCCTTGTATCTGGGTATAGCCACAATCATTACAGTATAGTGCCCCGAGATGACTTGTACATGTATGTAAGCTATGTCAAGGTTGGTAATAATGTATCCACTTCAATGCCTCTTTCCTGCAGAGTCCCACAGGGCTCGATTCTTGGACACTTTCTGTTCTCACTCTATTTGTTCTCACTGGGGTCTATCCTGAGGAAACATGGTCTTTCATTCTATTGTTATGCTGATGATTGTCAGATTTACCTGCCTTTGAAACCAGCAAGTGCTTGCTCCATTCACTCTCTCCTAAAATGTCTGGACGACATTAAAGCATGGATGGCTTCAAATTTCTTAAGTTTTAACAATCAGAAGACTGAAGTCA